TGTGTGTGTGTGTGTATGTGTATGGTGCGTACGTATGGTGTGTGTATATACATAACACAACTGTCATATTTTAAGGATCATAATAAATCGATATAATATTGTTAATAATTCTCCATTAATTATACAAGTTTACTTAGCATCATATTCGTGTACATATAGCAATCAATTGTTCATAATCTCTATGCCGTGATCTATTTAATCTTAATTAAATAGTTTCAAAAATGTGTACTATATGATAATCGATATTATTTTGCGCTTGTATTCGTACTAGCTATCATCATTTCTACATTAACCATTAAATGCTATTTTTTCTTGATGGATTTAAGTTAGAACAACAGCACTGTTACTTAAACTGATTATCTGAAAACACAATATAAAAAATTGTTACTTATTTCTAAGGTGCTTGCAGGATGTATGTGTCTTGTTATCATTTGCATGAGCATATTTGGTTTAAGCATAATTTCTTTGTTTTTTTTTTCTTCATTAAACTTTCTATGATTTTTTATATGACTGAACAGATAACAGCTAAAGCTTAGGTTTAAAAAAATTGTCTACAATAATCGATCACTCAATCCAGAATAAAATCATTGTTGAACACTCCCTTGCACATTTGATCCCCATTCTATCAATATCTTGGGCTTTTCAGTAAAGATGAGTAAGAACATAAAATTAGTTACATGTATTAACGAACACCACTTCTAGAGTGTGCTATAAGCCACTGCAATGTTATATCAATATTGTCTTTCTCTTTGCACGAAATGCTATAGCAACAGATCTCACGATCTTGAATAGCTGATAAATTCCTGAAAAAAGTATTCATGTAAGGCTTGTATATTATTCGGCTTATTGCTAATATGTATTCCTAAATACAAACATACATTCTTTCTATAAGTCCATTTTCATCCAAAGCATGAGGTAAATCCCTTTTGTTACCAAGAACTAGTACTGGTATACCAGATAATTGAGGTTTATCTAACAGATTGTGTAATTCATTGCGGCTTGCTTCTATTTTTTCAGAATCAGCTGCATCTACCATATATACTATTGCGTTCACTCCTCTACAATATCTTTCCCACATGGATCTAAACCTTGGTTGACCTCCAATGTCCCATACTTTTATAGTTACATTGCCTTTTGTTATTTTACGCATATTAAAACCAACAGTCGGGATCATATCCTCACTGAATTGTCCTGACTGAAACAGAATATAATTAATGAGAAACAGTTTTTTATTTCATTACAAAAAATGAACAAATGTTTCAAAACAATAGATTTATTGCTAAAAAAAAAAGTCAAAATGTCCATTTTTTTTTATTGTTCACGATCTTAATTTATTTAAAATTAAATGAGAAAAAGATGACGATAATCGAATTTCTTCTCCAGAAAATTATTGCAAAAATATGTTAATAACTATTAAATACATTACATTAGGGCGGATGCAAGGTTTACATCAGTGACAAAGTTATCTCGAATGAAATATAGAATCTAACCAATACGGTGCACGCTTTATTTTTTTGTCATTGATAAAATGCAAAGGTTCCGTGATTTTCAAACGAACATTCACCGGTACGTTTTATTTAGTTAATTCGCAAGCATTTAACACCGATTGTTAAATCGCAGGAACAGAAGCAAATTTTCGCACCGCTATAACATTTACGAAGGTGGTTTTCCCACTGTACTGCAATCCAACAAGAGTGAGTTCCATTTCTTCTTTCCAAAAGAGGGACTTAAACCAATCCAAAATCCGGTTGATGAGAGCCAGCATTTTTGATTAATCGGAGGAAACGCAGCTCCACCGGTAGAAAGTAACACTTAAAATACGCCGCTCACTGACTTTGACATGTAGTCATTTGCACTCGAGTACGACGTCAGTCCGTCAGCTCCAAAGGTATGTACCGCGCTAGTCAGTGACTGGCGCTGACTAATCGCGCGGTACCACTGTCTGTAATACGTCACAAGATGCTACACACGAATTTATCTTATGAAAAAATAATAATCTCCGACGCTGAACAAGCTTATTGCGGGTGATAGCGGATAGTGGTCAAGCGATCTTGACAGTTCGGGCATTGACGTGCAGCAGAAGACGTTGCAGTGATTCTCAACTAGATGTTACCCAGACTTTGATATTTCAGTCAATTAATAAATTACTGATTGGGATATGTTGGCGACCTCTGTTTCGTTTTCCAAGTATAATGGTTTATCGTACGTGTTTATGCGTGTATCTTTACATCTTTGCTAGAAAGAGAAAGAGAAAGAGACTTTTGATAACGTAAGAATTCGTAATATTCGCGAAGATTTAAATATACATTTGGAATTGTTTATGTAATTAAAAGATTAACTTTGTGGCAACCGTTTCAGTTTGTAGTATGTATCTTTTGTTATTTTATACCGTTGGTGAAACTCAATTTGATTATCCACATAAGAATCGTAAGAAATGAAACGAAAGTATGCAGTGAAATGCTTGCAGTAGTTGATTCGCGACGGTTCAAGTTACTACGTAACTATGGCGTTGATGGTTCTCAGTTCTTGATCTTTTACATTTAGGAAAAATTACATTTTATTTCTCGATATCTTTTTAACAGTTTGTTCTAATTATCGTTATAACGTCAATGATGTGGGAATTGTAAGTTATATTGTTAATTGTAAATTATCAGCATAACAATTGATTTAAATCCTATAACATACATATAGATTGAGAACTATATTGCTTGAGCGACAGAAAATTATTATGAATGCATCGGATTGCTGTATTAATATTTAAATGCAATGTTTAAATGTTGAAAAGGAATTGTTTTTTTCCTATTGTCTGGTAGTTTATACCTACGTGCTGTATATATATCTATCAATCAATTTGTTTTCACAGTTTTTAATCTCGATATCGATGTTAATTATATCAATTCTTTTATTCAATTGCTTCATGCACCACTGACTATATATGGGACTATATACAGCTATTTAGTGATTACAGACTCTTCTTCTCATCTATGCATAAGAAACAATAATATAGAAATACGTTAGAATGTTATACATAGAATGATTAATTATATATAATTCGAAGAATAATTCCGAGTTTAAATATGTGTACACTTATCACTATTTGCGTTTAATTTCACGCTTATTATCTGATTAATTTGACTGGATCTACTTATGTATATTGTATTTTTTCCATCAAATAATTTATAATATTTTTCATAATTTTCAGAAAAGATAAATTTTCTTGTTAAATTAAAATATGATTGATAAAATAAGTATGTATATGTATGTATGTATGTATGTATGTATGTATATTTGAGCAATATTCTCGTTTTTTGATTAGAAAATATTAGCAAATATACGATGAATATTTTGTAATTTTTTTTTTTCATAACATTAACAAAACATTCGCAACAAAATTGCAAATCTTTCGCTGGAAGTGGCAATCTTTGCATATTACTGTCTTTTTGTAGAAAAGAAATTTTTCGAAAAAGGACAATTGTTTTTAGAAAAAAAAAAAAAAAAAAAAAAAACTTGAGAGATATTCGTTATTTCTGTGTACAGAAATTGTTCTACAAGTATTATGTATGTACATGGCCGCGATTACAAAATCATTAGTCTCGGTGAAGATCCTTTTTTACACGGTTTTTTTTTAACAACTTTTTATTAATATCTAGATATAGATTCTTATATAAATTATCATTATGCGCACAGTTAATTTATGTTACTTGTTTTTAATTTTCTTTCTTCTTTTCGACGTTTTTTTTTGTAAATTCTTCGATTTCTTACACATTCGCGTGGCACATTACGTGTTATTCAGATTCTTTTTTTTTTTTTTTTTCTTTCCTCACAACAATACAAAACTATCCTATCTATGTACAGGGTATACGAAACGTGCAAAGCGAACGAAACACAAAGTGGACATTTCGTGCAAACCAGTCGTATCATCATACTTATCCGATTATATCTGTGGTACAAAGTTCGGGAATCATATTTTTAATCGCTGTAAATTTTGGGCAGAGATGTACAAAGAGTTTCTCAAACGTACAAACTGTTTGCGGCTCTCTTTTAGAAAGTGTGAACAAATATCGATAAGAATGTTGCGTCGTGCAAGTATTGCGAGGCACGCAAAAATTCTATAGTCAGAGAAACGTTGGATCATGCGGATACACGAGCAATATTCGTCATACATCTGTTGGATTACAAGCACTCGCTTAGAAAAATAGAAGTATCGTTAATATTAGAAATATTATTTGTGCGGAATTCGGGAACTTGATTGATTACGCTAGAAAATATAAACATTCGTAGATTTTCCTTACTTCTCTAACAATAATTTCAACAACTGTGATGTTGGAAAAATTTGATCAACGATTTAACCCTATATTATTTCACGTATTTGAACGTACAAAAAAAACGATAAAAAACCCCCTTGATTAATTCGGCTCGTTTGACGACGCGTTTCGAGTTTGAAACCTTAATGTCTAGATTACAAGTGACACGACGAAATATTTTGGTAATCACAGCTTCGACGTCAAGCGACCGTGTTACAAAAATGAAACGCGATCCCTTGATTCTGGATTTTCGCCGATCACTTCTCTGTTTATTGAGCTTTGAATGACCATTGCGCGTAATTATCAGAACATTCTAGATATTAAGGCACATCAGTTTGCTCGCAAGGCACGGATGACGTTGCTCTCTTGTCCCTTCGATGATTGAACGTTCGGTAAATCAGAAAAAAAAAAAAACGTGAGTTTCCTTAGCTTTGCGCGGCTTCGCGATGCCTATAATAATACAGTCGCCATAAAAACCAATCAGTGAAAAATCTCAAATATACAACATCGGTTATTTATTCTCGACTAAATTTGCTCTTTCGATCATCGTTATCGTTGATTAGTAGTCATTCTTATAGCTTAAACAATTAGTTTTGTACACTCTCTCTCGATTTATTGCTTCGTATAATACATTCTTTCCTTACAGTTTCACACAATTTCCTTACAGGTTCTTTTTTTTTTTTCTTTTTTTCGTTTTTTCTTTTCTTTTCTCCTTTAATTTCAGCTGAATGGCTTTTGAGTCGAACATATCAAATCGATGATGTATTTTATGTACAATGCTGAACATGTTACACTGTGCGTACAATTGCCGCGTATGTAAAGTATCTCTCGAAATCGAATATGTGTATATATATATAGATACACGATGATTTACATTGGAATGAAAGTAATTTTTACGCGTTTATAATGTGCACGCTTTTGCTTGCGAAGAGGAAATATTCGCAAAATTAGAAACGTTTAAAATATATCTTAAATTACAATGATTAAAAAACTTGGTACTTGCAAAATACAATTGTATAGTAGGATGGGTCATGTAACGTTGAAAGATTCTTTCTTCAGTTTTAACAATACGAGGAAATGTTTCACATACAAAATTTCTTGGTTACGATCACGAGAAAGAAATCTTCTTTGTCACGGTATTCGCCAGATATTTCCTTCCTTTAATCATTTCTTCGTACTATTAAAATCTGACGGAGAAATTTTTTGGTTTTAACGTTAACCGACTCACATCTGTATACGGACATGAATTTAAGCCCAGTTTCCAGAGCATTTATGTAACCGTGAAACGTTGTAGGAAAGTATACGGACTATGTGTCACAGATCGGTCTAATTAAGGTCACAAGTTCTCGAATAGGTAATGAAGTATGAATTTCCTAATATTCGCGGGATCCTGATAAAATGCAAAAGAGATCTTCCCGAATTACGTAATAAAATAACGGTCGGTGGCATTGTTACGTAATTTGATTCAAGACTCACCGTTAACTGTCTTATATAATTCCTTGTTTTTATATAATCTTAGAGCTGCGCGTAAACCGATGACAGTAAAAACATTTCGCAAGTAGCTATCGTCCTGGCGTGTTTGAAAATTATGTAAATCGAAAAATTGGTTTTTCAACAATGTCCGTTCTGTACGAAAGGACGGCCAAAAACCCGAGTCCGGACAGTTTCAGCTGGTTTCAGGAGAGGCGAGAGGCACTTTTACCTCTCTCCGAGGGGTTCGAACGCGCGTGTTGCGAAAAACACAGTAACTTCGCTACTACTTGATAAAAAAAAAACAATTATTCCACAATTACTATTGTGCATCGTAATACGGCGTGATCATGAATTACCGTGATCGGTAATGCAATGACGATGCAAATTATGCACTGAAATTCTTACGTAATTTCGTCTATTATATTTTCGTTCCATCGCGATCTTATCAGGATATTAATGCAATTCAGTTTTTGGTATTTAACGTGTTCGCGAAATACAATTAGACGAATGGCAGCGCAACAGTTTCCATGCTTCGCGCATACCCGCCTGGGAGAGCGGCGGATTCGACGACGAGTTACTTTGTCGGTCGTGGCAGGTGTACGTACAGCGAACCGAAGGAGGATCACGAATACCTGAATCGCGAGGCCAGGGATCCGTGACATTGAGCCGCAACACATCCGGGAGTACTACTCTGTACTATACACGTTGGCTTCGTATCACTCTTTCCCTCTCACTTTCTATCCCCTTCCACGAATACACGCTATACAACGCGGTCGCAATGCAACGCAGTAATTTTGTACTCTCCGATGTTCTCTCCGCTGGATCTCGGAACGGATCGCCGGACCGGAAGGAGAAGGAGAAAAAGCCCGGATGCGACTCGTGGAATTCGACGGAAAAAGACGAGATGAATTGATGACGGCTACGACGTAGCGTGATCGGGTCACTCGGTCGTCGTGTACGATTTCCTAAGGTTAAGCTCCGACGCGGCCAGGCTGTCGCCCTTCACGTAATAATCGGCCGGGTCCCTTCTTCCGGACGAATTGCCGTTTGCTCTGTCCGTTGTGACACCGTTCGACTGATGACACTCCTGGTGATCCTTCTTCACGCCGTTCGTCATTGGTTTCCTCTTCTGCTGGTAGCTCTGCTGGTAAAATTCGTTGAACAGGAAGAAGAACATGGTCGCGTGCAGACCGATCCACCAAACGAACGCCTTCGGGTAGTTGCAGTCGATGAAGAGCAGTTGAAACGCGTGGATCATCACCGCGACGAACTGTATCATTTGGAAGACGGTCAGGTATTTCTTCCACCAGAGGTACGGCTGAAGTTTCGGACCCATCGCGGCCAGCATGTAGTACGTGTACATTACGATGTGAACGAACGTGTTCAGGAGTCCGAAGAAAGTCGAGTGACCACCTGAAAGGAAAGACGATACACACGTAGAAAACAATTTTTTTTTTTTTTTTTTTTTTACGAATATCGCTGACAGAGCATGGATATTTGACTTACCTGGTGTAAATTTAACGCCAAACCATACTGACATTGGCATGCAACCGTGGTGAATAACGTGTAATGTCGACACGTGATCATTCTTCTTCCTCAACACGAAGAAGATCTACAAAAAGAAGAAGAAAACGGCGAATAACACGACAAATGCGTGATTATTGACAATTGAACATACATGAATTTACATTCATACTTACCGTGTCCATGAATTCCGTAAATTTGGAAAAGTAATACCACCAACAAGCGTGCACCATCTGCGCTTTGGAAAATATCGATTAGATAATTCCTTTTAACGTTGCTCGTGATACGACGAACATGAGAAGAGAAGCAAATCCTTGGAGATACAGAAATTATGTACTTTTTAATGATGAACGATTATGGAATAAAGAAAGAAGAAAAAAAATTGCTATCGCTCGAAAGATTTGCCTTTTTTTGATAGAGAGTTGCGTTGATGAACAGTCGTAGCATTTTATTGCGTTTCTTTCTGTGTGATATCTGTAGTGATAGTTATCGAATGGTAAGCAGTAAGTAATGTAATTGTCGTCGTGTGTATGGTGTCTGTTTTTCAGATTTTTGTTTTCTACTCGTAATCTGTTAAGTGGCATTAATTGCATGAAGCGGTTGTTTCGAAGTGTGTTAGCTTGCTAAATTAAATACAATATTTTCAAATACTACAGGAAATTTAGTGGCGTGTAGGCGGGGACTATTATGTTATATGAGTACAGAGTTGGGTAATATTAACGAGAAAGACTGAGACTGGATGCAAAAGAAAATGTCAAAATTTTCAATTGTATCCAATCAATTATTTCGAATATCATTGGTAGGGCAAGTACTTAAAAGAACGTAGCTGTACTCGACACAGAACTTAAAATTTAAAATATGTTGAAACTGTGTACCTCTTCGAGTCAAAGTCTTCGAGTCTTTTTAACTTTTTAGACTTTTTTTTGAATTGCAGCAAAAAAAAAAAGAAGAAAAATATTTATTACATCTTCAAATGTGAAAATCTACAGTTTGCAAAAATTTGATCTTTGAAATATCTACGAGTCTTCAGATTTTCTTTCAATGTTTGAACTATACTACGAAAAAGAAAAGTTGGTCAACTGGTTTGTCGTATTCTCGATGTAGAATTCACAGTTTTAATCGTGTGACTAACTGATTGTGCGAGAATTGTATTTGACTTGGTGTGATGCGTTTTTCGTGTTAATGGGGAATATCACCCACCCTTAGTACTTGGGGTCGATCACTGTAGTCTACGGGTTGGCACCTTAGAGAATAGTCGCCAGTCAGCCATCCGGACATTCCTATCTGCAACCACAACCGCCCAGAGGCCATTCTCCGATCAATGAAAAGAATAAATAAACGAAAGAGAAAGGCATAGAAAAGAAAGGGGCGCGCGTGTGCATATTCACAGAGGAAGACTAATCATTGGACTTAATAATGGAACGTGTGTGTGTTAATTGAGGCTGAGCGTCTTCGTCTATGCCCTGCAACTCCGGATTCTTACCTAAATATATCTATTTTCGTTAATCTTTCTCTCCCGCCGAAGGGTTTCCCTTGAAGTTACTTTAAGAGAATTTGAACATGAAAGTTATAGAAAGAGTTTATCGAAATCGTTAATCGGTCAGTCGGTTTGATCTTTCCTCGATATCAACGTAAGATATTAGCGCGGAAGAAAAGTCCGTCTCAGACCGGCATGCAGGCATTCCAACGTATAATTAGCACAGAAATATGGGCTATAGTTGTATTATACTTCACGGAGCTGCAAGGTACGAGAAGCAAAATATAGAGATGCAAAATACACGATAAAACAAGCCACAAGCGCTATAAGTACAGTTTACTCCTCTCTCATAGGTGGTTTCTTCCCCCTGGTCGACTGCCTACAAAGCATAAGATATTTTGCATTATAGCACAGTTCCACAATTTCTACGATACAAGGCCTTTGAAAACGTGAGAACGTACTATCGTCAATAATATGCGTATACGTTGTTACAGTGCATTGTAAAGAAGTAAGATTTGAGGGTGTGGAGGAATATGGATCAATTATTTTCTCTTTTTTTCTTCTTTATATAGTGGTTGCAGGAAGCATTTGCATGTCCTCGTATCTACGTTATAGCGTTTATACATATTACTTATATTTATGTGTTTGGGACCAATATTAAATTTCATGCCATGAACCATCCATATTCGCTTTGACACGAAAATTTGATACTAAATTATAGAGGTCAATAATCAGACTTTTGCGCGCGTGCAAACACTTTCTGCAACCACCGTATAAACTCGTACGTATACGCATATAAAAATCGTTGAATCGATCAAATTTGGCATTCGTGGAGGTCCGTCTCGTTGGAATGGTGGTCCGTTTTGATGATCCATCTGCAGAGAAAATAAACGTATAACAAAACTTACCCTCAACGCGGTCGGGTTGTTGCTATAGTCCACGGGTTGGCAACGGAAACTATATTGGCCCCACCATCCGCCCATCAGACTCTGTTGTTTTGTTCGTTTGAAAATTAATCTTTTATTTTGCGCTCTTTTCTGCATTGATCGAAAGCTTAATCGATCGAGTTCGAAATGTACTGCACGCGATTACGCAAACTATTTGGCGAAACTATTGCTATAAAGATATTGTACCGTAATTATCATATGATACATTTAATGCAAAATCAATTTATTAGACGTTCGTTTCTTTAGCGATCGACGAATCATTTGATCATCGCAGACCGAAGCGTTCAACCCTCTGAAGGCAGACGAAGCCTTCCTTCATTGATTAACGCGTCACGTAAGAATTTATCGCAGTCGATCGTTTCGCAAATACTAATTAACCGTCGTCATTGATATGATCGGTCAGACGCGATCTCGAACTCGATGAATTAGTCGGACGTTCGATGTTCTTGCAGAAGATCGTTCGTCTCGTGCAGACGCGAGTGTCTGTTTCCTCGTCGCATCATTCTCGAATGTACACACGTATGTATGCCGATTATGCGAGCGTTATGTACAATGCCCGTGCAATCTCAGGCTCGTGCATGCAACGGATACGTTTTTGAATCGACAAAATTCTTCGGACGACACGTGTTCGATATATCGCAGGTATGCAAGTGGTAAGACAGAGAGAGAAGTGGAGGAAGTGAAGCGGGGAGGGACAGGCGAACGAAGCAGAAACGTTACCTCGTAGAAGAGCCATGCTGAGAACATCACTTGGAACAGATTGTAAACTATCAACGTGTTCTTCAACTGAAAAGGTTTTCTATTCTCCATCAGCTTCGGGCCCAAAACTTTTACCACGTACACATAGCTCAGACAGATGAACAAGGTTGGGAACGGTGAACTCATCATGAACCAGTTCGTTGTCCTCTGATCTGAAAAATGAACTGCAAGCTCAAAGATCTGTCGATGTTTGTTCCACTTGGTAGATATAAATTAACCCTCATCTATCCCTGTCCCTCTCGTTTGAATTTGGCTTGTCTGATAATTGATGTAACGATAAAAAATTGACGTCTAGTAGTGGAAAGATAAATAGTTCTAAAGAATTCGCAAATTCTTTTACCAACAATGAACAGAGACTCGTTGATGTTCACATCGTGATCTTGCTGAATTAAAAATTCAAAAATTAGACTACATATGTTTAAATCTTTGGAAAATATATATTAAATATATTATATAATAATTACGGTACAATTATTAGAAGAAATTATTCGTCAAGAGATTTGAAAACAAATATTATTTCTATCTCCGTAATTTTATCATTAAAAATGTCAAAACACGGTCTATGCTAGAAAAATAGATACCGATTTTGTATCTACAAAATAACGTAATATTTTACAAGAAAGATATGCCAAAGGAACAAGGAAGGAACGGACGAGTTAATAGCACGAAAGAAAAAAAAAAAAAGAAATGTAATTATCATAGGAAACTAATGTTCGGTTGGTCGCAGCTAATATTTCGTGGCCAGTTGCCTTGAAGCATTGACACAACCTTGAGATTCCCCACGCGATATCCTTCTGTACCTTCTCGTCCTTCGAAAGTTCAATCAACTATCGTATCATCGCCATTAAAACCAGTTGTAAAATGCCAGTGTTTCGTTAACAGGTCCTTTGCCAGTTTTTAACGATCAGCCGACCTTGCTGCCGCCGCCTCAGTGATTCACTCGTTCGGTATTTTATCGTAGGAAACGTGAAAAGAACGTTTCGATCGTGACATTTCGTCCGTTGTTCCCGAAATTGAAAGTCATCCGAGACAAGTCGAAAAATACGATCTTCTTCCACTTGCACATTCATGCGCCGCAGAAGCTTGAAAATATTCCTCGAAATTGGTGGTT